CACACACACACACACACACACACACACACACACACACACACACACACACACACACACATATACAGCCGCCGCTGTTGTGCTCTGTTGCCTGTTATGCGCAGCTAGATCATTATAGGACATGTAGTCGATGTGGGTTGCGTGCAGTTACGGCAGGATGTGTTTCATTCTCAAGTACATCTGACATTGATCACATCCGACCGCTTCCTTCATCTGAATGTGTAAGTTCTATGTCAAGTGTTCTGTTTTATTAAACTTTCTAAAAATCAGGATCTCAAGGAGGAGGAGGAGGAGGAGGAAGAAGAAACATAACAAGAAGAGAGATTTGCCTGAATGACTAAGACAGCAACAGAAGGCGACGAGGAAGCAGCAGAAGCAGACGAAGAAGAAGAAGGAGAAGTAGAAGGAGACGGCGAAGAAGAAGAAATATGCCCGAACGAGTGAAACAGCGCCAAGGATGTATCCTGAGGCTAAATCCACATCCCGAAGAGTAATCCACTGAGGCGGGAAGGGAGAAGTAGATGTGGTCCTTTGAGACATCCGTCAAAATAGGAACGATATGTGGTCCTTCGAGACATCCGTCAAAATCGGAACAATACGAGGAAGATTAGCATGGCCCCCATGCAAGGATGACACACATAAATCGAGAAACGGTCCAAAGTACATAAAGAGGAGTCAGCCCAAGACTGGCGGGAAGCGACAGCAAGAGAGAGAGAGAGAGAGAGAGAGAGAGAGAGAGAGAGAGAGAGAGAGAGAGAGAGAGAGAGAGAGGGAGAGAGAGAGACCATGGCTTTCGGTATCTCAAGGCATGCATTCATGCCAGCTGCTCGTTTGTATAAATACATAAATAAAATTATAAAATGAAATAAAATAGTACGACCACTTTGATGATTGAAGGTGCCTCAAGGATCTGAGCCACTCTTGAGGGTTCTCACTTCCTGAGTTGTTGATGCAGCCTTGACAAAACACTTTCCTCAAAACCCGGAAGGCATGGGTTTATACTTCGATGTAGCTGTTAAGACTGTTCTCTCTTTTTTTCTGTGTACAACTCTCTCTCTCTCTCTCTCTCTCTCTCTCTCTCTCTCTCTCTCTCTCTCTCTCTCTCTCTCTCTCACACACACACACACACACACACACACNCACACACACACACACACACACACACACACACACACACACACACACACACACACACACGCGCGCTCACGATCATCATCATACGCAGCAGCAGCAGCAGCACTCTTCTTTTGCGTGGGGACTTTTTCACTACGTTCCTCCTCACCATCACTATCATTATCGTCACCACCACCCACATTTTCTTCCTCATCATCATCGCCATCTTCTCCTTCTTCCGCGTGTTGGTTGTTTCCTTCCACGGCTTCCCCTTTCCCGATGTATTGGAGGACATCGAGAAGAAGAGGAGGAGGAGGAGGGAGGAGGAGGAAGAAGAAGAAGAAGAAGAAGAAGAAGAAGAAGAAGAAGAAGAAGAAGAAGAAGAAGTAGTAGAAGAAGAAGAAAGACTTGGGCGAACGAACAGAAGAATAATTTTCCAAGAAACGGTGGAAAAGAAAAAGCATCGATGTTGTATCCCAAGGTCGCACATGCATCGTGAGGAGGAAGAAAGCCAGGAGATAGGACCGGATAGGTGCGACGCGGAACGAGTAGAAGAAGGCATTGTACTTTCTCTCTCTCTCCTCTCAAGTTCATTCATTTCTTTTTGCAATTGGATGAGATTGTACTTTCTGATGAATGTGTACTTCGAAATTGGCCAGGATCGTAACATTGGTATCAGAGCAGATTCTACTTGCTTGCGATAGTTTACTTTGCCGCCGTAACCCTAATCTAAGTGGTTAGGGCTAACCACTTAGGGTTTTGTTAAGTGGGGCAGCATGGTGAAAGGGAAGCTGCTCCCACCTGGCAGGGTCGTGTAGGGTCGACAATAGACCCGGCCAGGTGGTTAGAGTGTGTGTGGTGGTGGCGAGACACAAGGTGGGACTTCGTGATGCAATTGGAGAGAGGCGACGGTGAAGGGCACCTAAAACTGGAATCTGGACTTCAGGGAAGACAAGGAGCAACTTTAGGGCTCCCCTCAAGTTAGGCGAGCTTGAGGGTGGCAGCCATATATGCATCAGTGGACTGCAAGTTGCTACTTCGACCTTCAACATCCAAGGGGGATCCGGCATTGTACTTTGGGGTAGAAGTTGACCCTCCTAGATCATAGGACACTTGTGTCGAGGATGCTAATTGGGTCAGAAGGACTATGCGAGAAGGGGGGTGGGTTTCATTTCATCCCAAGAGCCCAGCCACTCAAGTAAGTGTCATGCCACAAGGGTGCCGATGTGTGTGTGCATGGAATCGACTGCCTGTTGGGGTATTCTGGGTTCTTCTCCCATTCTCTATGGTCTTGATCCTGTGTTGAAGTATGTGAACCGCTTTCTCACCTGATGAGTGAATGGATGAGTATCTTGTGCGTAATGCCATATCTTTCTACAGTACTTTATTTATTTCATTTTGAACGGCCGTAGTCTGTAGGTTCTTTTTGGAGTTGAAATTCGTTTTTCAGTACGGTAGGGACAAAAAGTAGTTCTTTGTGGAACTCTTGTTGGTTGGGACCCAGTCTTGACTCAAGTAAGACCTTTTTGGACCCAGTAGGATTGGGCCCAAACAAGAAGGGGCCCTTAGGCCCAAATTTGTTGACGTCAGTCACCTTGCTCTACCTTGCTGGGAATCGGATTTCGGACGAGGACATTCGCCGCTGAAAAGATCTCAGCTGAGACGTTTCACAAACTTTATTACACGGTCTGCCACTTGACTCACACCTTAGACACCACTCAATTCTCTCTTGCATTATGTAGCACACTTTGAATTTGATTTGTTGTGCTTTTACGGGACTGAGTCTGAGTAGGCTTGAGGGGATCTCATACGCAGTTGGACCAGACTGTTGTTGAATCAGATCTCTCTGATTTTTATTTTTATTTTTACTATTTCGTCTGCTCTCCAGTCCAAATGAATTGGTCTGCTCTCCAGTCCAAATGAATTGCCGCTCCGGCTAGGAGCCCTACCTTCTTTTCGAATTGTTTTTCAAACTATTTCTTTCATTGGGTTGACAAATGATTGTACCGACACGATCACAGACAAAAGAGAGAGCAAGGAGAAAGAGAGTGCCGAGCGTCTTTCTTGAGGGTGTCAGAAAAGGTAAACGGAGTGTTCGTCCGAAGAAAAGGGCAGAGAGTACGTACCTTGAGAGACTTGCCCAGAGTACCAAGCGTCTTTCTTGAGGGTGTCAGAAAAGGTAAACGGAGTGTTTGTCCGAAGAAAAGGGCGAGTACTTACCTTGAGAGACTTGCCCAGACCTTTTCTGACTTTCATGTTGAAAGCCCCAGTAGGACTACCATGGAAGCAGGATCAGCAAAAGCTTCAGTGAGTATGAAGGCACAAATGGATGCACATAGGATAGACTGCTCTTTAAGACCCTCTATGAGAGTGCAATGATAGAAGAGGCGAAGTTGGAGGAAGAAGCGTCAGGAAGGCCACTATACAGGGCCATGAGGATGTGTTCAAAAATGTTCCCTCCTTACCGGACGATGAGATAGAGCCACACTTGGTCACCTACGGGAGAGGACTAATCGACTGTCACATAATGGACCCTCTCCCCGGCTTGGTTTCCCAACTGTTTTATCAGGTAAAATATATGCGGGAAACCATGACCCAGATGGAGAAGGCTCACAGTGACCAACTGCAGAAAATTGCAGATCTGCATCAGGCTAATCTCACCCCCCCCCTCCTGCCAAATGCATCGAATTCTGCTACCTTGTCTACCACCTATGCCCCTCTCTTCTCTTCTTCATCCTCGAGCTTAATGAATATGGGACCTGCAACAAGTGCACCTTCCACTGCCGCTGCAGAAAGTAGCGATGCAGGGAGCTCTGCAACTGGTGCAGTCCCAGTTCCAGTTCCTGCAGATCCTAGTAATGGTTTTCCCTATGTGGATAAGGCGGCGGCCGTGTTACTGCCTAGATACGATAGGAAGGACAATGTGTCGTGGGAACCACTGGCATGCCCGAGGTACGGAGCTGGGTAGAGCTCCAAGCCATACAGGCCGGATATGCCAGACTGGACATGAACAAGTGGCTAAAGGCCACCGAGATCACTGCACTCTATGAACTCTTCATCAAACGCTATCAAGATCCGCACGCGGCAGCAAGAGCAAGATACCGGCTTGACTATGTCAAACGCAGCAAGTGGGCCAAGAGTATGAAAAAGACCTAGTGACACATCTCAGCAATCTCTTTGCCACACCCAGCTTAGAGATGACAACACAATCATGTTTAGATGTTGTCAAAGGCACGGTACCCTCGACCACTATTAATCCTTTTGGGCTAGGACTCGACAAATACACGGACTGGCTTTCCCTCATGAAGGACGTAGTCAGGCTAGAGAGCAAGATCTCTTGCACGCAGCAGGTAGCGTAAAGAAGACCTTTGGTCGCAGACGGCATGGGGGCCGCAACCTTTTTGCATCACACCACTTGCTGGAATCTGATGTCGAACTGGTCCAAAGGGTTCTACTCTTGGTGATGATCAAGAGCAAGATGCTGACCTCGTGTGTTTTTCGGCTTACGAGTCCCAAACTGCAAATGATGATGAATCAATGAATGCCTTTAAAAAGACTGCCTTCAAGAGTAAGGGGTCAAGGAACTCAATGAATAACAATACTAACACCATTCACCTCCCCAAAGGAGCAAAGATTCCACCCAAACCGGAGGATCTTGCCAAAAACCATGGGTAGATCTTCGGATTAGTGAAAGTGAGTGGAAACATAGGATCCAGAAAGGGATTCGCCTGCATTACACCAAACCGGGACATTCAATCCAACAGTGTTTCAGATTGCAACAGGAAAACCAGCAAAGCGGGTAGAGATATTATCAGCACACTCTGCAGAAGGAGAGGTTGAACAAGGCAGGTCCTTCTACGAACTCTGATCCCACTCAACAATCCTCTCTTGAGACCTCATCTGATGCTGATTCTGAGGCTGAGAAACTGCATATCCTTTACAAGGAACCTTTGGCGGAGTTGGAAGAGATTGACTTTCATGCCCGCTTGCTGCGTTGGGCTCAGATGAAGCAAGAGAGCGCGCAGGGGAAAACGAAGTCGATCTTCTACAATCTCCGCATTAATGGCCCATACACCCGTGCGTTGGCTAATTGTGGTGCAACCGCCAACTACTTCTCACCATACGACATTCGTAAGGCACGCTTGGGAATGAAGCGAGTGACTTTGCAGAATCCTTGTCGAACCCAAGTGGGCAACCAAGAGGTTGTCACATCTACGCAAGCAGCAAAGGTGTGCGCACTACCTTTGATGCAGACCACACAATCACACATGAGCTGAACTTCTATGTCCTTAATAAGTGCCCCTTCGACGTAGTTATTGGGTTAGGCTTGTTGCAGGCCCAATGCGAAAGAACCACGTGGAAGGACTCACAATTCATGGTCAAAGATGCCATGGAGATCGAGCGTCCAGTCCTCTCGAACGAACCGCGCGAGTCCCGAGTGACTTTTCTCAATGCAATAAAATTCTACAAGAAGTGACGCAAGCACACAAATGATGAGCAAATGTATATAGCCTCGGTTAGGCCTGCTCATGTGCCTTTTATTTTTGTTGTACATAATGGTTCTACTTTGCATGTTGTTGGGTGGAGAGCTAACCAGCAATATTGTAAGCTCTCAGTTACTGTCTGAGTCGAGGCGTATAGCAGACACGAACCATCAGATTAACCCAATCCTACCTCGTCTCCACCTTCCATCTTCACGGTACACTTACATGGTGACTCCCGAGAATCCTGGTGTGTTAAACTCTTCTGATCGCCGGGAATTCTTCCTCGTCCTCAGTAACACAATTGGGAACGACCTACCCTATCAGGCTATGGACTACCAGGGTGACGAAACCGCCGAAGGGAATTGCCCCTCCTCTGTCGGGGAAGAGGGCAACTCGTTTCTCCGTTCCCCGTCTCGGTGACGGCCCGGTAGCACCTCATGCGTTGTTCGTGGGAGGGGGCGCCTCCTGCGAAGCGCTACACTACTCGCCCATTTGCGCCGCTCACAAAATCGTCAGACCATACTCCGACCTTAGGGAAAGTGAGGAGTTCCACAACAAAGTTGACGAGGCAAGTGCCATCTAGCTCCGGACAGGACAGGAGGAGAGGAGTAACCAAACTAACGATACATGTCAACGATGCGATGCGATGTGGAGTAAAGGGGGTGGCTCGGGAGGGCAAACACCCTGGTGGTCAAAGGAAGTGCCAAGTAAGGTGACGTTGGATGCAGGTGCAGATGTACGAAGCACAACATATGGGGAGCGTGCTAACCAGAGGTCACAGGAGAGACACGAGAAGACGCACAGCCAAACAGTGTCAGTGGCCACAACAACATTCATGCCCCTATGGATTCCAAGAGAGGGATGGCCACTAAACAGTGCCAGTGGCCACAACAATACTGTAGGTCTCATGGGAGGTCCGTGGGGAGACCTAGGCCCAACTCAACCGAATGCACATTGGTTGGGGCCACACTCGAACCTTCAAGAGGCCAGCCTCGGGGGAGGCGGCCCGCATTGCAATGCACCGCCCCATCTCATCCAGCAGATCCACATCGAACGCCCCCTTCCCATATACCTTCTGACACGAGAGATGGTTAACGGGGAGTGAAATATTCGTTGTTTTCGCCGGCAATTTGATCCAAACATGTCTAAATTGGACACATGACATACCCTAAAACACATATATGTCATACAAAAAGAAAAACAAGAATAAAAGCAAAAAATCAGCACAATGTGACAGTTTCAGTGCAAAATTCGCAGATAATAACACCCCTGGTTGACCACATGTGGTATGATTGGAGAAATTTCGCTCCACAGGCTGCGGGTGGAGGTGCGCTCGCTTCAAACTTCTCCAGATGGGACGAGAGAGGGAGTTCGATCAAACGAACCCACAGAAGCAAGGGTGGGAGATGAGAGTTGGGCACAAAGGAGAGCTGAAGAAATAGGGGAGACACAACTCAATCATGGAGGCGAAATTCTGCAACTCCTTTCTCATAAATTAGAGAAGAAGAGGACAATCCAAGAATCTGGGGACTCAACCAGGCCCTCTGGAAGAACAGAGAAAACCCAAGGGGAAACGTCAAAGACGTCAAAATCTTCCCAATCGAGGATTAGGTGGGGCAGTGAGTGTTGTGTAGAGGACTTCAGAGCAACATGCAAGTTGAACGAGTCATCATCGATGGAGAGTTCAGCAAGATCGAGACTCAGAAGACAGAATGATCCAGGGATTAGCAGCGGGAGAGTTTCGAACAAAAACCAGTGTGCGGTCGCACTGGATAGGAATCAGATGGAAACAGTAGAGAGGTGCTTAGTTCCAATCCTGTACACGAGCTCTGAAGAAGGAGCAAGCTTCCTCTCCCTATCAAACGATGAAGGTGCTCCCCAAGGCGATCAATTGCACCCCAACGCCGGCCATGATTATGGAAGTGGTGAGGTTGCTATATAGTGTACACATTCCAGTGCGGTTAATACCAAGATCCACAATGGCTCAAGTGATTGTTGAGACAGTCCAAGGCTACAACAAGCTCTACTTCCCAATCCTGGATGCCCAAATACCTCCACAAGCAGTAACCATACTCAATCAGACAGTAAGGAGGTTGAAAGTAGATCCGCTATGGGAAGGAATTGGCACGAACTTGAGAAAATCCAGAATTTACCTAGGGTATCTGCTATGGTATTGGTAAAAATGCAAACGAGAAGCTGATGGCGGAGGAGAAACCTTCTCTCCAGCTTTCTGGCCAAAAGCTTAATAGAAGACAGGCGAGTTCCTCAAGAGAAGCTCTGCAGACAGCATCAAAGGCTCCAGCAGAACCCGCCAACGGGCTCCTTCACATATCCCATATCCAAGACCAGAAAGGGCAAGTGGTAGAGAATGGACAGAATTAGAGTGGTAACGTGGAATGTACAGGGTCTCGGAGATTCCAACGGGAGACATAAGCGAAGAAGACAAAAGTCATGGCTGCATGAATGGAAAGTGAACTGCGTGCTGTTGCAAGAAACCAAGCTCAATGAAGACAAATTGAAAGAATTTGCGACATGGTGGGATGGCCCACAGGTGTGGGCCCCAGCTCAGGGGACTCGGGGAGGGGTGGTATCCTACTGCACAGGGATCTGCAAGCATAGATTATTGACGCAGAAACGGACCTGTCGGGGAGATGGGCATGGTTGAAAGTGGAGATAGGAGGTGACGGCTGAGTAGTTATGACAGTGTACGCGTCGACGGGGGTAAGTGAGAGAGCAAGATTCTTCGCTGGGCTAATGTCCTATGTACCTGTAACAGACAAGCTGCTGCTAGCTGGTGATTGGAACGTATCCTTGGATGAAGCGCTCCGTCCGAACTCCCCCTCAGCAGATCATAGGGATGTACGGATGCTGGTGGACTTCTGCACGAAGTTGTCACTATCCGATCCTTTCCCAATGCTCAACCCGAATGATCCAGGGTACTCCTGGTTTTCGAACCTCCACAAAGAAGGACAGGTCATTACAAGGAGGCACCTTGACTACTATCTGCTCAGCGAACCAGTGATGGAGAGAGTGGTCATGATCAAGCAAGTCTGCCACTCGATGTCAGATCACAAACCAGTGGTTTCAAATATACGCCTGAGGCTCAAAATTGAGAGGGGAAGAGGCTTTCCATCCGAACAGTCGCGTGCTCGAGGAACCAGGCATTAAGGATGGGGTGGAAAGGCACATGGAGAGTTGGAAGGATGCAAGACATTACTTTGAACCGACTGCCCTATGGATGGATGGGGGGTTGGCAATTACCTCCGGGGGCTTGGATGTCTGCTCACGGATTTTAGCGAGAGCAAGGAACAAAAAAGAGGCTTTGTGTCTGAGGGGGATTGAAGAGGCGGAGGAGAAAATGGAGAGGCAACCCATCTCAGCGATGGTGTGGGAAGTCGAGCGGGAAAGGAGGATGGCCGAATGGGACAACTTGCAAGAGGATAAACAGCGAAGGGGGGTGGAGATTATGAAGGAGAAAGGCATAGAAACGAACGACAAAATGAGCAAGGAAACTTTCCAGAAACTCCACCGAGTGCAACAGCAAATGATTGAATTGAGGCACCCGTTCGATGAATCAGCTCCCACAGCCTGTTCGGCGGCCGGCATGCTGCAATACGCTAGTCTATACTATGCGGACATACTCACGACCAGGCGACAGAATGAAGACGTGAACACAGACCTGTCCCTGCAGTCAGACATTTGGACAAACATCACCATACAGTTAAGCACCACGGCGAAGTTAGACTTAGACAGACCGATCACCTTAGATGAAGTCTCTCAAACAATGAAATTGATGGCAAGAGGGAAAATCCCCTGGGTCGACGGACTATTCGTGGAATTTTATTCTGTGAATTGGTGTTTTCAGTCCCTTACTTGTGAAATTGTACAATGAGGGGTTAGTAGGAGGTAGGCTGGGGAAAGGGATGACACACGGGGCGATCACAGTCTTATTCAAGAAGGGTGATAAGTCGAACGTCTCCCTCTTGAATGTAGCGTACAACATCCTCGCGAAGTCCTTAGTGTGCAGACTGTCCAAGCACCTCCCAGGGTTGGTGGAGAGGGACCAAGGGGCATTTGTGCAGGGGAGATCCATTCTCAACAATATTTTGACCGTCATTGAAACACTAGAGATTGTTCAGATAGAAGCGCTTGATATGGCTATTCTCTTGTTGGACGTCGAGAAAGTTTACGATAAGGTGGGTTGGACATTCGTCCTTACCACCCTCAAGAAGATGGGCTTCAGAACCGCCTTCTGCTCATGGATCAAGGCAATGTATACATTCTCTTCCTCTGTAGTCATGATCAACGGGCACCTCTCAACTCTATTTCAGCTCTCTCGCTCACTGAGACAATGGTGCCCACATGCTCCACTGGTCTTCGTGTTGCAGCTTGAAGTGCTCCTCAATTGGATTAGGCGGAAGCTAGACATCCGAGGCCTGCAACTGCACAACGGGGAGGAATGTAGGGTGAAAGCGTTCGGAAGCCTGGATCAATTGGAGGAAATCCACCTATCTGCTGCCTACCCACTTCACACTCAATGTGGAATGGGGGATGAAACAGGTGGAAAAGGGCGAAGAGGAGAGATTCCTTGGAGTGCTAATCAGCCTCCAATTGGAGGTGTCGATACAAGGCTCGCTGCTGCAGCAGAGCATTACGGCAAGGCTCGGGTTGTGGGGAACGGCGCGGCATTTGTCCTTGATAGGGAGGGTACTGGTGGCCAATGTAGCGTTGCTCTCAATTTTGTGGTTCATGACCACGGTGAGAGAACTGGCAGTTGGGGTGGTAAAAGCGATCAGGAGGCTGGTGGCGAGATTCATATGGAAACCACGGGCACAGTCAGCAGAGGGCTTTATCTCCAAAGTGGCCTTTGACACTTTAACCTTCCCGAGGGCGAAAGGGGGACTGGGGTTGGTGGACCCAGCCCATAAGAATTACGCACAACTTCGAGGTCGGATCACCAAAGTGGCCAAGTTGAGCACCCGAGACCATTGGATGACACTGGCAGAAAGGATTCTAATGAATGAATGGGCCTAAGCATGTGTGGGCCTGCTTCTTGATACCGTCCTTCAGAACCTGACTACCAAAAGCCGCCTACCACAAGAGATGAAGTACTGGACCAGCTGCTATTTGAGAATGCAGAGATCCTGGATCAGTCTGACAGCCCGTTGTGGGTGGACGGGTCCCGGGGCTCCTTCGGTCAAGCCTGGATCAAACAGGGCGTTGTGAAGCTTGAAGATCTGTGGTCCATCAGCCTGGGTAGTTGGAAGCCCCTAAGTGAGGTGAGAATGGAGCTTAGAGGCCTTCATAGGGTGGAGGAACACTGGAGAGTGGTGGTGAACTCTATTCCATCAGAATGGTTGTATACATGGGACCAATGGGGGTAGACCTGGTGGGGACCTGGTACATCTCGAACTCAGAGGGGATGGGAACGTTTTGTGGAAGGTCAAAGAAATCCTTCCCAGAGGTTTAGAAGAGTAGAGAAATGGCGCAGTGAAGGCGTTTCAAACACTCTGGCGCTGCTGGAAGAGGTGACAGTGAAGGCATGGGATAACCCAGCACAGGTCAGGTAGTTGAAAAGCGAAGTCGGCCAAGACTAAGCCGGGCGCCCTCCTGGATTGGCAGAACCCCATCGCATGGAGTTGGTCACCTAGAGCGGGGGCGGAATCGCCCATGAGCCTGCTGGATTACACAATTTTCCAGGGTACCAGTGATCTGCCCCCCATCGGAAAAAGCCAGCTCAGATAGCTACATCCAGATACGAGTCAGTCTGGACGGAAGACCTGTCCGAAGCAGGTCGTGAGTTCGAGAGACTGTGGGAAACCCTCACAATATTGCCAAACGGAAAACAGGTCAGTTTGTTGTGGATGCTCTTTGTTGGTTATTCCGTCAGCAGTCTGGCTAATGAGCAGGGGCATGGAGGTAGACCTCAGATGCTCGAGATGCAGATGGCCATTTGAATCCACCAGACAGCTGTGGTGAGAGTGCCCAGTATCCAAACGGGTATGGAAATGGTGGTCGTATCATTGGAGAAAGTTCGGGGATCCGACTGTAATCTGGGATGAGAGATGGGTGCTGTTGGGCTTCCTACCTGCCAGTGTGAAGGGTCACCGAGGTTGGGGGTACGTAGCTCAGGTAGTCAGGGGGCTAATCTGTGAAGTGATCAGGAAAGACAGGAACAGGGCACGGTTCCAGAAAAAAGTGATCAGGAAAGACAGGAACAGGGCACAGTTCCAGAAAAAACTCTTGTCAGACATGGAGATGAAGTGCCTCATCAAGCAGGGCCTGAAGCAGGTCATTCGGGTGGATTGGATTAGGAAAGCTAAAGCTGGCAAAGGGTCTCGGAGCCAGCTGAGGTGGTTCATGCGAACTTGGGTGAAAAAACAGAAGCTGGCAGCTGTCCACACAAGTAAAGGCCTCCTGCTCTCGCGTTGGATCCTGGAGATGAACAATCCTGGGGATCATGATCAGTAGAGGGTTAGCTAGGAGTAGGCACCCCGTAAGCAGAACCATTCACCAGGACACTCGGTGTTCTAGGGTCACAGTAGGCCTTTAGTAGAGTGTCAAGTAGGACCCGTTCCTGGTCCCTGGTCCTCTGGGCCGTGTTAGTCCCAGACAGTAGAGTATTTTAGTTTAGGTGAGCCGACAGGGATTCAATCTCGGTAGATGGAAGGTAGAGGCTAAAATGTCCGGTTGGGTGCATGGCTATTCTGAGCTGACATATCATGACTGCAGTTGCAGCAAGCTCAACTTTTCTGTTAAGGTTGTCACGAACTAGGAATTGGAACTCAGTAGGTTCGGGTTCTGCAGACTATTGTCTGTAAGCTAAGCTGAATGATGCTGTCCGTACTCCGGGTCGAACTGTGAGGTCCCCGCCCGTCCTCGGTTTGAATTAAAATGAACTGAGAAGTTCGGTTAAAAAAAAAAAAAAAAAAGTCTGGCTGTGATTTCTTTTTCCTTTTCTCAGAAGAGTACCAGAAAAGAAACAAAGGGACCCCGGCTCAGCAAAAACAGGCTCGGAAGTAGTGGGGGTTTAAGATTAATCTTTTTTTTTTAAGGCTAAGCCCAACCAATTCAATTACCTGTCGAATCTGGACAGGACGGCCTTTCAGGCCTTTTTTATTGTCATTATAGTATTACGGGGAGCCCCGTCGCAGCCACATCCGAGCTCAAGCCTCCAACGAGGGAACACGTGGGAGCTGCACCCACCAGCAGGTAAGATACCTGGTACAGCAGGTGGGCGATACCGGCCAGGGTTCAGCCGGTAGCATCAGGACCCAGCTTCTTCAATGGGCCAGTCCCTGTGCCTCCCCTCCGGTCCCCTCCCCGTATGAGCATCAACAGTCTCTGCTCAATGCTACTCGGGGGGGACCAAATCTTCAAACTGCCCTGCAACAGGTATTTCAATTTTCAAGTGATCGATATTCCTTTCCACAGATCACGCTTTTCCCCCGTCCCCTACGCCCGCCACAGCGCGTCAGTCCCCTCCCCTTCCCCCCCCTTCTCTCTCTCTCTCTCTCTCTCTCTCTCTCTCTCTCTCTCTCTCTCTCTCTCTCTCTCTCTCTCTCTCATTCGCGCGCGCACTTTTTCAGATCGACAAACGAAATCTGGTGTCTGCGCAACTTGGAAAAAGAGCGAGCAACAAAATGCACTCTCTAGATCGCGCACAAAGTAGGGAGGAAGAAGCTGGGAGGGAAGGACGGCAGGAGGGACGGAGGGCTGGAGGGAAGGGGGAGAACCGAAGGATAGGAGGGAGGGAGGGCGGGAAGAGGGAGGAAGGACAGAGGGCCGAGCCCCAGGGAGGAAGAAGCGGGGCCACGGGAGAAACACCGAGGCAGAAATGGAGGGAAGGAGGAGAATAGACCGAAAGACGTAGGTGATGTTGCTATTGGTGCTGCTCTCTCTCTCTCTCTCTCTCTCTCTCTCTCTCTCTCTCTCTCTCTCTCTCTCTCTCTCTCTCTCTCTCTCCCCGACCGAGGGAGGAGGAATGGCCTAGGAAGGAAGGAGCGATCGATAGTCCTTTCTACAGTTCATGCTCCTCTCTCCCTCTCTCTCTCGCGCGCGCGCGCACGCGCGGCAGGGGGCAAGCCAGCGTGAGCATGTGCGCGCTCGCTTGATTTCAGATCGACAAAAACATCTGGTGTTCACTTAACTTGGGAAAAAAACGAAAAACAGAAGTGCTCTAGATCGGGCAGGAGGCAGGGAGGGAGGGAGTGCAGGAGGGAGGGGGAGAAGGGGGACAACCGAGGGATAGAAGGAGAGAGGAAGGGCGGAAAGAGCGAGGGAGGAGGGAGGAAGGGGGGAAGGACAGAGGGCGAGCCCAAGGGAGGAAGTAGCACGGCCGATGGAGAAGTGCCAAGGCAGGAATGGAGGGAAGGAGGATAGGCCGAAAAAGAGGAAGGTGAGGGTGTCTCTGGTTTCTCTCTCTCTCTCTCTCTCTCTCTCTCTCTCTCTCTCTCTCTCTCTCTCTCTCTCTCTCTCTCTCTCTCT